AAGAAGAAGAGATGACTCGGACGACCAAGAGGAACTGGCAGTTCCTTGGTAGGTCAGAGAAAAGCCCTTCAAACTGGCAGTGACCATAATTAAATGATCGCTACAAAACTGAGACATCCAGACTAAGTTTTTTGTGCTGGAGCTGTGTTGGAACAGAATGGGAAAACTGGGTGAATGATTGATCAACTCAAAAAGAAAAAGAAAAAGAAAAATTGATTTTGATCTTAAAAAAGGGCCCCGGAGCAGAATTAGCGGCTAACTGGCTTTCGTGGAATTTTATTGAAGAAAAATGAGGCAGTGGAGGTTAAAACACCATAGTCTCAGAGGATTTTGTTTTCTGCAGTTTGTAAGTGAAGAAATTAACTAACCACAAAAATAGCCCAGGGGGAAATCCTTTTTCTCCTTATTTTATTTTTTTGTGGATTTAATGTGTTTTTGACAACTACTGACATTCAGCTGTTGGATTGTATTTGCGGTTTGGAAAGAGCCATCTAGTGTAGATCAGAAAATACTACACCAGTGAATGAAAGGGGGGGGGGAGAAAACGTGAGACTGCAGCTGTTAAGTGTGACCTTGGCTACAAGAAAGGGCGTTGGTACTTACCTGATACGCCTCTTCTCATAGGGGGGGGGAGGAGTATCCAGATTGAGTTGGCCTTGTCCTCTCATGATTGGATTGAGTCAGATAAGCTCTTTAGGCTACGTCCCTTGGCCACCAGGAAAACCCAGTTATCGGCGAAGAACTCTATCCGACTCGTTGTACCATTCACTCCAGACTCTTAATTCTGTTCTTAGCTTTTATTGTATTCAACATCAATATTTATATAACTTTTATAAACAATTAACATAACTCTTAGTCATACAAACATAGTCAGGGAGGGGCTGGATACTTCTCCCCCCACTATGAGAAGACGCGTATCAGGTAAGTACCAACGCCCTTTCTCCATAGTGAGGGGGGAGGAGTATCCAGATTGGGATGTACCAAAGCCTATACGTCCCTAGGGAGGGAGATCCCTGAGGCCACATGCCCCCAACTCATGCCTGTTGAGGCATGGCCCTCACCCTGTGGACCACCTGCAACACCGTGTGGCCAAACGAGCCTTCTGCTGAGTCAAAAGAGCCCAGTTTATAGCTCCTAACAAAGGGAGAGGAAGAAGTCCACGCGGCTGCCCTGCAGATATCGGCCAAGGATGCCTGTGTGGCCCAGGCCGTGGAGGTGGCTGCGCTATGCATGGAATGAGCTGTGATATGACTTGGTGTCTGCAGACCCTGTGATTGGTAAGCAGTGGCTATGCAGGTTCGCAGCCACCTGCCTATTGTGGTGAAAGTTACCTTGTTTCCCAGGGACCCTGGTTGGAAGGAAACAAAGAGGGCTTCAGATTTCCTGCTTCGCCTGGTTCTCCTGAGGTAGATCCTCAGGACCCTCCTTACGTCCAGAGTGTGCCACTTCTCCTCTAACGGATGAGAAGGATCTGGACAGAAGTTGGGCAAGATCAGTTCCTGTGCTCGATGGAAACAGGAGTACACCTTAGGGATGAAGGACGGATCCAACAGTAACACCACTCTGTCTTGGTGGAACACACAGAGATCCTCCCTGGTGGACAGCACCTGCAGCTCGGATATCCGCCTGGCGGATGTGATGGCCACCAGTAAAGCCACCTTAAGAGTCAGGAGCTTAAGAGAAATCGTTCGTAAAGGCTCAAACAGAGCGCCTGTTAGAGTGTCCGATATCCTGTGTAAGTCCCAGGAAGGGTACCTATGTACTGTGGGTGGTTTGAGATTGGAAGCCCCCCTTGAGGGATTGTCTGACCATGGAGTGGTGAGTCCAACTCGGGTTCCTGCCACACAGAGACTGATGAGATGGCTGAAACCTGTCTCCTAATC